CTATCGTGTTGTTGTTATTTTATAAAACAATTACTTTATGGTTTCCCTGTTAGGATGGCCTGATCCAAACACTTGGGAATGTTGCTCGAGTTAAGAAAAGCGCGCAAAATCACTCGCCTTCGGCTCGTGTTTTCGCGCGCTTTTCTTAACTCTCGCAACATTCCCGCGTGTTTGGATCAGGCCATCCAAACACGGAAACCATAAAGTAATTGTATTTAAGCATATAAACTGACAGTAAAATTTCAACTCAAACATCCGATAATACTTAATTCCTTTTTGTATCTAATATTGTAATAAATTGGGCGATTGATTACTGTTGGAAAAATATGTTACAACAACTTACAGCTATCGTTCAAGGACTTTAGCAAAATATTGGGGTCCAGTAGTCGTATATAGTCGATACTCCTTATAGTACGACACTGATGAATTTAAAAATATATCAATTACAATGGCCACCTTGAAACGCTTGTGATCACCATGTTAACGTAATATTTGCCAAGGTTAATGAAAGGCCTAAGAGCCTGGATATAAGACTGTCATTAACTTGGAGATCAATATTGAACCACGCTCCTCATTCAATCCGAAGCGCATCATCCCACGCCTGTGAATTGCCAAGCCTGTTTCAGGTGTTAACATCGAATCATGATTCATGAAGCTCTTTGTTCGATTTTTAACGACAAAAGCACTTTTGTGGTAGCAATTGCATTTAATGTATGTATGTATATGATGTGTAATCTGTAAATTTGTTAATTTACATAATGTTACAATGTAGCATTTCTCATGTTGTCTTTCAAGTTTTATTGTAAAATTAGTAAATCTTACATTCAGCAACAAAGCTTGACAGTATATCATGTTCTAGAGCAATGCTGATTAATCGGGGGATTTTAAAATAATCGGTTATCGGCCGATTATTGCACGATAATCAGTTGTCAGAAGATTAACTTTAACTTTCACATTACGTCGTTAAATTTATCATTTGGTTTGATTTATGAAACATTTTGAAACAACTCTTCTGTTGTTTAAGAAGGGAAAAATGCCAATAATATCGACAGCAACGTCGTTGATAACATCCAGGTGATCTTGATACGCGGAAAAGTACTGGCACTAGTTGTCAAATAGAAATCCATTTTGTGATTAAAACAACTGAATATCTCCTGTAATATACTTTATTTCCATCCCATATTTTTGTCAGAGCTATAGTTCTCATAACCAAACATAATTACAAAATTTCAACTAGTTTCCCAAAGAATAACGAAAGATATAATTGACTGAATACATCAAAATGGATTTCTATTCGGACAACCCTTTCTGAGCGCTGATTGGCTAAAATACGAACACGAGATCACCTGGATTGTTTGCATTTCCCTCCGTTGTCGCAATTTTTATCAAAGTCACGTGAAGAAACTATGGGCTCTCATTCGCTAGTTAATTTCCGCAGCTTAGCACTAAGCTCGCAACATCCGCAGTCGTTGAGATTTTTTCCTCGCGAGGTGAAAAATATCAAACACGATAGATATTTTCCTCAAGGCCTCGAGAGGTCAAATCCTCACGAAAACTATATATCTGCACACGAGAAAACATGCCATCCGGGTTCCAAATGACGGATGCATCCGCTTTAGTTACACAACCCCTCGGTCACATGACGCGCTGACGTAAGGACGCATGGATACCAAGTTGTTAACCTTGCTTCAAGTCACTTTTCAACGCGCAGTTCCCAAGTTCGTTGCAAACTTGCTAATTACATTTCCAAGTTCAAAAATTGGGCGTGAACTTCGCAACAAAGTTCGCAAGAACATTTCAATGTCTGAACTATTGTAAACAAATGTTCATAATTCAAGTTGAAATCAACAATTCTATGGAAAGTTCTTGGTCCAGTGGGCTACCAAGAAGGTTTGTATCTCATTGAATTGGTTATCATTGAGTATGAACATTTGTTTACAAATGAAGTTCAAACATTGAAATGAACTTGCGAACTTTGTTCGAACTTGGAAGGTCCAGACACACCGGACGCGATTCGACAACGCAAAATTTTTGTCGAATCGCGTGCGGTCTGTCTGGACCTGTAATTGGCAAGTTCGCAACGAACTTGGGAACCGCGCGTTGAAAAGTGACTTGAAATCGACAATAAACTAAACTATAAAGTGTCTCCTTAGTTCCCCTGTCAACCATCAAAGAAGTGAGATCAGGGAAGAACACGGAGGTATTTCGTGCCATCGAGCGAGAAGACATCCCCGAAGATTGCGCATTCTCGATCATTCACGGAGACAACTTCATCGTGCTGGATCTAATCGCCCACAGTCCTGATGACGCAAATATCTGGATCACTGGCTTACGATGTCTGCTTGATTCTGATTTCAGTAAGTTGTGTTTAGGAGTCGCTCGCATATTTTCAGCCCCAATTTCACCATTGTGAATCATGCAATCCTACTTAAGCCTCGACCATACGAGAATAAGAGTTGATGCATGAGACTTGGTAGTCACGCATTGTTACAGGGGACATTTCAAGCTCTAGATTAACAAAATAAAGGTTTGATGAATGTTCCAACTATGTTTTAACTTAAATACATGATAG